TAGATCACGACTTATATGCATTTTTTAAACCTGGAATTGGATCTAAGCTTTTTCAAGGTACCAATTATATAGGTCATGGCCTATGGTTAAGAGCAGATCTAGCAACCACAACTAGCAGTGGTTGATGTTTAAGCCTTTAAAATTTCATGTGCCTTTGTATGATCTTTTTCTTTAGTGATTTTAAAAGTAAATGCATTTCCAGGTGGGGTAGCAGATACTATTAATCCCAGCACTCAGATCTCTGTGAGATCAAGGCTAGCCTGGTCTACATGGCAAATTCTAGGGGCTATAGGGAGACCCTTTCTCAAAAAAAAAAAAAAAAAAACAGAAACAAAAGTAGCTGTATTTTTCTCTGAACAATATTTGTTACTAACATATGTATAGATTCTTTCTGATCAATACCAGATGCAGGATGTGTTGGAGAAATCTGATCATTTGATGGCTACAGCAAAAGATCTGTTTGCTGATTTTCCTCGAAAGCGTACAGGTAAGTATTCAATTCAAACAAGCTTCTTTTTTTTTAAATTAAAAAAAATTTTTTTTAATAACTACATGATTAGAAGAAGCATTTCACTACAGATTTAACATATTCAGTAACACACTCCAGAGCAAGAGTACATCTCTTTCACAAGTGGGTGCAAGTTTCTAGGTTCACAATGAATTTTTAACCCTCAAAAAAGATCTCCATTTCATTCTAAAATATACTCTTTCTTACAGAAAGACTCATTGTTTTTGCTACTAACACTGAGATGTTGGCACATGAGTCTCTAATCTGTATGTATCTGATTATTACTAGTTATAATAGTTTGCACTCAGATCCTTTGGGCCTGTGTATGTCTATAAAGTCGTTGAGTAGATTTCAGTGGTAATGTTCAGCACCTCTACTAATTAACATGATGTAAACTTTTATGCTTCCTCCTCAAATACATAATATATTTTAAAAAATTGTTGATTTTTTTTTTTCTGTGTGTATACGTGTGCATATCACACAGAATATCCCAAACCATCTTATTCGACTATACACTAACTTCCCAGATGGCACCCTCCCATAGTCTCCCTCCCCTTACTTGAGCCCTTATACTCTGATATCCCGGCTACTGTCTCCTGTGTTGTCGAAAGTGTAAATGTAAGTATTCAGTTCAAACAAGCATCTTTTTTTTTTTAATTAAAAAAAAATTATTGTTAAGTATAGGCCATAAGTGATTGGAAGAATTTACAGTCCTTTTCTAGGAATCATATTATTGATAAGTATTCTATCGTGGCTAGTATAGAAAGATTATTAGGGTTAAGAGTCATTTTAAATTGCTTGCTCTTTACTAAGAATATTAACCATTACAAATTATTTAGCCAAGGTGAAGTTTATTGTAATTATCTACTAAAATATAATGTACAGGATTTTGTAATTTTAAAGTTGACTTAATTTTCAGCTTATCACATAATGAAAGTACTTGTGTTTATATGTAATTTGAGTAAACAACTTCACAAGTCCCCAAGGATTCATGTAGCCTAGGTTGGCCTGGAGCTTCTGGAATTCCTGCCTTTTACCTCCTGGATACTGCCATTGTGGTCATATATAACCAAACTCTACCACAACATTATTCATTTTAATGTCTGTATAACCACATGTTTCACCTAGACATGAAATTTTTTCTTTTGGTACAATGTTTAAATCCTAGATTAGCCATTTATTAGTGTAACTCTGGGCTAGTTGCATAGTGTCTCTTGAGTTTCAGTTTACTGATCTGTAAAATATTAGAACCTATGTCATGGAGTTTTGTGAAAGTAAAACTATGCTTCTGTATATAGAAGTGTGAGCTATTATTTTTTGAGATTCCCCTAGGATGATGGAAGCTATGGCAGCATCGAACTTGTGAAGCCAGTTTAAATCATCATGGCTTATTTTCCTTCTGCAGGGTTTCCAAATATAACAATGGCTCCAGATTCCTCTCAGGGTCCCATTGTGGTAAATCAAGACCCTGTCACCCAGTCCATCCTTAATGAGTCTGTCATCAAGCCTCAGGTAATGCATTGCCCTCACAGCCACAGTGCCCATGCTGGAATGAAGGTTAACTTGATGTAGGCCTGTGGCAAACATTTTTAAACCTTAAACACCAGTCCTTGTCTATCAGATAGGTGTAGAACAAAGGTAGAAAAAGAAAACTAATAAAGGAGATTGGGAAAGATCAGCTAGAAAAAGAAAAGAACATTCAAAAAGATATGAGGGTATCAAGATTTTTAGTGTGTGTTGTGTGTGTGTATTTGTTACATTTATGTTGCTGTGATAAAACACCATGACCAAGGCAGCTTCTAGAAAGAAGAGTTTATTGGGTTTATGGTTCCCAAGTGATGAGCCCATCAAGGTGGGGAGGCATTGTGGCTGGAGGCAGCTGGAGCAGAAAGCTGAGGGCTCACATCTTCCAACAGACACCAGATGCAGGAAGAGAAACTTGAAATGGGCAAACCTATGAATTCTCAAAGCCTATCTCCAGTCATGTGCTTCCTGCAGCAGGGCTGACCTTCCTAAACCTCCCCAAACAGTGCCACCCACTGGGGTCAGAGTGTTCAAATATTTGGAGTCTATGGGGGAACATTCTCATTCAAACCCCCACAGTGTGTTTGTGTGTGCATGCATGTGGCGGTCAGAGGACAACCTTGGTGTCATCCTCAGGAATGTTGTCCACCTGTGTTGAGACAGAGTCTCTCTCCATTGGTCTGGAGTTTCCGTTTAGGCTAGACTGGCTGGCCAGAGGAGCCCCAGAGATCTTCCTGTCTCTGCCTCCCTTGTCACCATGTCTGGCATTGTGTAATGTGGGTTCTGGAGATTGGACTCAGTTCCTTATGCTTACTAAGATTTTAAAGGAAGGAAATGATGATTAAGGTCTAGTGAGTCAGAGAAGAAAAGGCAAATACAAAAATACCTATTTGGTTTAAAAATAAATGTGTTGATACCACCCTTGAAGAGAGCATTTTGAATGGAATAGAGGACAGAGCGAAGTTACTGGACAAGGATGGTGAATGACAAATGGAAAATGACTGTCTCTGTATATTTGATGGTGCCGCATACCTCTAATATTAGCGGTAGAGTTGATGCAGAAGGAATTGTGAATTTGAGGCCAGCCTCAGCTACATAAGAACTGAGGCTAGGCTAGGCTAAACAAAAACAAAATCAAAAACAAAATTAAGTTTGATGGTAACAGAGAATAGTAATATCTCTGGGTAGGGACAGGGTTAGGATAAGAAGGGAAAGATTTGCTTACACTTACATGTTGACAACCTGAAATTGACAGAGACAGAGAGAGACAGAGACAGACAGACAGACAGAGAGAGGGACACAGAGAGACTGAGAGGAAGGGAGGGCGGGGTTGGCCTTTAGAACACATGTGAAGGGGTAGAGGGGTTAGCCTCGGAGGAGAGATTTCTGTTATGACAGAAAGTATGTAATCAAGTTGTGTTTCTGTTTCTGTTGTGTTGAGATAGGCTCTTAATGAAATAAATGATGAAGGTGAAGGCACTGTTAACAGCCAGTCAGAAGAAAGCGAGAGTGAACTGGATAGCTCCCTCAACTTGCAGTCTAACAGGAATACAGAGAGGTATGGGTATTTCAGCTCTTGGCCTGTGTTCTGAGAGTGTTTGAAATTTTTGATTATTATCTTTTTTTAATCAGTTGAGAGTATTCTTTTATATAAACTGTAAAAATTTTGATATAATTTCAAAAAAGTAAAAGAATGTGAAAGTTCTTTACTCTTTATGTAATTCTTTTTATACATATAAGCAGATAAATAAATGTCTTTTCTTTCATGCATTAAAGATAGCATGCTGTATTTGTATTTATCACTTAATATGTCCTGAAACCACCCCAACAATCTTTTGTGAATCCATTTTTTGTTTTTATAGCACCGGTGAAATAGTTGCCAAGTTCTAAATTGTGTGAATGTGCTATAGTTGATCTGCTGCTCTCCTGAATATTTGGCCATTTAGGTTATTTCCAGTAACTTATAGTAACAAAAACTCTACAGTAAATACCTTGTACATAAGTATTTTTATATTTTTTGAGGTTTATATTTAGGAAAAATTATCACAGGTGGGGTTTGATGTTTAAAGTGTAAATGCTGTATAATTTTGTTTAAAAATTGACATTTATGAAGAACTGTACTCTAACTTTCTTACCCTAGACCAAGGTTATGGAAGACTTCACTCATGTTTTTTTCTAGTAGTGTGTGGTTTTTGTGTTTTAGATTTAGTGCTCTTTGATCTACAGTTTATTTTAGTATGTGCTAGGAGGTGTGTGTCCATTGTTCTTTTCTGGATGGTTTCCCCGTAGCCTTCAAACCATTTATTAGAAATACCACCCTGGCCCCCTGGGTTGGGAAGCTGCCTTTGTCACATATGAATCTCCATATGTGTGTGGGTCAGTCTCAACTTGCTGGTCTAGTGTGTTGGCTTTTCTTCCCTAGTCATTCTTTAGTGCTACACTGTTTTATTTCAAGAGGATTTATAGGTTTTTAATAGACTCATAGCTTTTCTTAAATTTAGGGTTTTCTTTTTTTTTAAGAACAAGTGAAAATTTATATTTTATTTAACCTACTATATGAAAATATAATCATTTCAATATATAAGAAAAATAAATATGAAAGTTTTTGTTTTAGTTTGCTCTTTGAGACAGGGTTTCATGCTATAGCCCAGACTAGCCTTGAACTCTAAATGGTCCTGGTACCTCAGCCTCCCAAGTAGATCACGGGCCTAAGCCACCATGCCCAGCTATACAAGTATCAATGACATATATTACCATAAGATTTGGGGTCCTGCCCCAGTTAGGTTTCTGTGATAAACCCCATGACCAAAACCAACTTAGGGAAGAAAGGGTTTATTGCATCTTACAACTCCTGGGTCATAATCCATCACTGAGGGAAGTCAGGGTAGGAACTCAAAGAAGAAACCTGGAACAGAACCTGAAGGAGAGACCATGAAGGAAAGCTCCTTACTGGTATGCTTCCCTTGGTTTGCTCAGTTCCCATTCTTAAACAGTCTAGGCCCATCTGAACAGGGATGGCACTGTTCACAGTGGGCTGGGCTTGCCTACATCAATTAACAATTAAGAAAATTAACTCCCAGCCATGCCCATAGGCCAGTCTGATGAAGGAATTCTTTAATTGGGGTTTCTTATTCCCAGGTGACTCTAGTTTGTAATAAGCTGATAAAAATTGAACAGCACAGGTTCTGTCTTTGAAATCTGATGGGTATTTCAGTTTATTTATGTCTCTATTAGACTACTCATATTTCATATGCCCAATATATCACCAACATGGACCATATGTTATACAATGTGTAATAGAAATGAGGGCCGTGGCTGATCTCACTTGGCCATCCATCTCCAGTGGATGCCTTCATCAGGAAATTGCTGCAGATTTTTTTAGATGTCTTTATGGGAAATAAGTCATTCTTTTGTATTTCTAACTTACTATGAGTTTTAAAACAGTGCACACCTGTAATCCCAGGACTCCAAAGGGCCCCCTCCACATTCCACACTCCACTATTCCAGGGGTTGTGGAGACAAAGGTCACTGCTTACTGTATCACCCAATTCCTCTAAGAGAAGGATTTCAAATTGGTATGCAAATACACAGAAGCCAAAAAGACTGAAAAGACAGAGGAAGCGACCTCTTCGGAGGGGGAGGAATCCATAATTGTTCTCCATAGACGGCAGAAAAAAATTTAGTAGGATATAGGAGGTTTGAACAATACAATTAGTAAACTTGACACAAGGACTTTTACAGAACAACATACACTCTTTTCAAAACATAGAGTGTTTACCAAAACAGTTCATCTTAAATTTTGAATACATAAGATCTCATAAAGTATATTATCTGAATTCAATACTTAAAAAGCTAAAGTTTTTTTTTCTTTTTAAGCACTCAAGAGGCAGAGGCAGGCAGACTTCTGTGAGATCTAGGCCAGCCTGGTCTACATAAACGAGTTCCAGGCCCCTAGGGCTGCATGAGGACCCTGACTCAAAACAAACAAAAAGAGAGCGCTGCACATTGACCAAGTATCTGTTTCTAGCAGCTGGAAAAACAGGAAAACCCCCAAAGCAAATACATGACTGGGAAACACTGAAGATTCAGTTGGCAAAAGCAAAAAAAAAAAATTTACATTGACAGCTTTCTGGTGAAAGTAACCAAGAAAAAAAGAGATAAAGTGCAACGAACTAACACTGAGCAAAAAGCCCGAGATTTCTCAAAAAAGAGGCTGCCTGAGATTTCTAAAAAGAAAAAATAATTCAGGAATCTCATGAGTAATTTTATTACAGCATCTAAATGACACAGGCAAATTTCTAGAAAAGCATGATTTACTGAAAAAGACTCAAGATGAAGAGGAAAGCTGAAGTGGGGGGGCATGGTGGTGCATGCCTGTAATCCCAGCACCTGGGAGGCAGAAGCAGGTGGATCTCTGAGTTCAAGGCCAGCCTGGTCTATATAGTGAGTTTCAGGCCATCTGGGGCTACAGGGAGATCCTGTCTCAAGCAAGCAAACAATCAACAAACAAACAAAAAATTAAGGTAGCGATAGGGGAAAGCACTTGACATTGACATGAACATTAATATGAACTTGTTTAAATTCATAAAAAAGCTTATTGATATTTTCTGTTAGGACATAATGTTTTTCCCTTTGTTGAAAGTGTACTTTTTGTTTTTGAGGAATGTTTTAACATGTTTCCCATTTAGGATTTGTTTGTTTATTTTGGTCTTTTTGAGACAGGGTCTCCCTATAGCCCCAGCTGGCCTGGAACTTACTATGTAGGCTAAGCTGGCCTTGAATTCCGCCTGCCTCTGCCTCCTAAATGCTGGGATTAAAAGCGTGCACCACCATGCCCAGCTTGCTTTTTTATTTTTTTAAGATTTAAACTATGTGTATGTGTGTGGGCATGTGCATGTGAGTGCAGGTACCCTCAGAGGCCAGAAGAGGGCATTGAATCCCCTAGAGCTGGAGTTTTAGGTAGTTGTGAGCCACCTGATACGGTGCAGGTATGTGAACCCAGGTCCTCTGTGAGAGCAGCGAGTTCTCTTAACCACTGAGTCGTCTCTCTAGCCCCATGTTTGCTTATTTCTTATTAAATGTACTCTGAAATATTATCTTTGTTATCCTTTCAAATGGGTTTTTTTTCTTCTACCTCTGTTTTGTTTCCTGTGGAGTTAAGACCCCCAAAGCCTTGTGCATGCATATTAGGTAAGCACTCTTCTACCAAGCTACATCCCCAGCCTCTCTTCCACTATACCTTTTAGCTGTTATCATTTGTGTTTCTGAAGGCTCTGGATTTCTGCTCCTTATCTCAATATGCTGCTACTTTATTGAATCTTGGTTATGTTAGTTCTAGCAGTGACTTTGCAGGATTTTTAGAGTTACTGTCATGGCATTTACAAATGATAGTTTTACTTGTTTTCTGAATCTTTGTACCTCCTCCAAGTTTTTTCTTTTGGATATTATAGGATAGTGTAGAATAATAGTGAGATAGTGAACATCCTTGCTTTGTTCTTTATCTTATGGAAATATGCTGGCTTTGGCTCTGAAGTCTTTTTAATACACAGTGCTAAGGAAATACCTTAGGTTCTACTTTTATTTTGTCAGTAATGATTGCTGAATTTTGTCAGACTTCAGCATCTGCAGAGATGATCCACCAGGGTCTTAGGCATGTTAAGCATTCTACTACTGAGCTATATCCTTGGTCCTGCTTAAAGTTATTAATATGATACATTATATTATGGTTTTCCTGATATATAGCTATCATTGCTTTCCTGCAATAAATTTTACTTGGCCACAGTGTGTGATTTTCATACTATAATGGTAGACATTTAAAATATTTAGTTTAGTATCCTTGAATTAAATTTTATAAATGATATGTATTATAATTTTTATGTCTGTTCTTTATCACGTTGTGGTAACAGTGTGCCATGTGATTTTATAAGAAACAGCTGAAAGTTTTCTCTAGTGTTTTTTTTTTTTCTTTAAATTTATTTTAATTAAAAGCCACTTCCCAGGTAGCACCCTCCCATAGCCTCCCTCCCCCCACTAGAGCCCTTATA